AAGAGTATAAAGAGTAGACCCTGATCTTAGTGTGAAGGGCGAGTAAGAGTATAAAGAGTAGACCCTGATCTTAGTGTGGAAGGGCGAGTAAGAGTATATAAAGAGTAGACCCTGATCTTAGTGTGGAAGGGAGTATAAAGAGTAGACCCTGATCTTGGTGAGTATAAAGAGTAGACCCTGATCTTAGTGTAAAGGGCAGAGTAAGAGTATAAAGAGTAGACCCTGATCTTAGTGTGAAGGGCGAGTAAGAGTATAAAGAGTAGACCCTGATCTTAGTGTGAAGGGCGAGTAAGAGTATAAAGAGTAGACCCTGATCTTAGTGTGAAGGGCGAGTAAGAGTATAAAGAGTAGACCCTGATCTTAGTGTGAAGGGCGAGTAAGAGTATAAAGAGTAGACCCTGATCTTAGTGTGAAGGGCGAGTAAGAGTATAAAGAGTAGACCCTGATCTTAGTGTGGAGGGCGAGTAAGAGTATATAGAGTAGACCCTGATCTTAGTGTGAAGGGTGAGTAAGAGTATAAAGAGTAGACCCTGATCTTAGTGTAAAGGGCGAGTAAGAGTATAAAGAGTAGACCCTGATCTTAGTGTAAAGGGCGAGTAAGAGTATATAGAGTAGACTCTGGTCTCAGTGTGGAGGGCGAGTAAGAGTATAAAGAGTAGACCCTGATCTTAGTGTGGAGGGCGAGTAAGAGTATAAAGAGTAGACCCTGATCTTAGTGTAAAGGGTGAGTAAGAGTATAAAGAGTAGACCCTGATCTTAGTGTAAAGGGCGAGTAAGAGTATAAAGAGTAGACCCTGATCTTAGTGTGGAGGGCGAGTAAGAGTATATAGAGTAGACCCTGATCTTAGTGTAAAGGGTGAGTAAGAGTATAAAGAGTAGACCCTGATCTTAGTGTGAAGGGCGAGTAAGAGTATAAAGAGTAGACCCTGATCTTAGTGTAAAGGGCGAGTAAGAGTATAAAGAGTAGACCCTGATCTTAGTGTGGAGGGCGAGTAAGAGTATAAAGAGTAGACCCTGATCTTAGTGTAAAGGGTGAGTAAGAGTATAAAGAGTAGACCCTGATCTTAGTGTAAAGGGCGACTAAGAGTATATAGAGTAGACCCTGATCTTAGTGTGGAGGGCGAGTAAGAGTATAAAGAGTAGACCCTGATCTTAGTGTAAAGGGTGAGTAAGAGTATAAAGAGTAGACCCTGATCTTAGTGTAAAGGGCGAGTAAGAGTATATAGAGTAGACCCTGGTCTCAGTGTGGAGGGCGAGTAAGAGTATAAAGAGTAGACCCTGATCTTAGTGTGAAGGGCGAGTAAGAGTATAAAGAGTAGACCCTGATCTTAGTGTGAAGGGCGAGTAAGAGTATAAAGAGTAGACCCTGATCTTAGTGTGAAGGGCGAGTAAGAGTATAAAGAGTAGACCCTGATCTTAGTGTGAAGGGCGAGTAAGAGTATAAAGAGTAGACCCTGATCTTAGTGTGAAGGGCGAGTAAGAGTATAAAGAGTAGACCCTGATCTTAGTGTGAAGGGCGAGTAAGAGTATATAGAGTAGACCCTGATCTTAGTGTGGAGGGCGAGTAAGAGTATAAAGAGTAGACCCTGATCTTAGTGTGAAGGGCGAGTAAGAGTATAAAGAGTAGACCCTGATCTTAGTGTGAAGGGTGACTAAGAGTATAAAGAGTAGACCCTGATCTTAGTGTGAAGGGCGAGTAAGAGTATTTTGAGTAGACCCTGATCTTAGTGTGGAGGGCGAGTAAGAGTATAAAGAGTAGACCCTGATCTTAGTGTGAAGGGCGAGTAAGAGTATAAAGAGTAGACCCTGATCTTAGTGTAAAGGGCGAGTAAGAGTATAAAGAGTAGACTCTGGTCTCAGTGTGAAGGGCGAGTAAGAGTATAAAGAGTAGACCCTGATCTTAGTGTGAAGGGCGAGTAAGAGTATAAAGAGTAGACCCTGATCTTAGTGTGAAGGGCGAGTAAGAGTATAAAGAGTAGACCCTGATCTTAGTGTGGAGGGCGAGTAAGAGTATAAAGAGTAGACCCTGATCTTAGTGTGAAGGGTGACTAAGAGTATAAAGAGTAGACCCTGATCTTAGTGTGAAGGGCGAGTAAGAGTATAAAGAGTAGACCCTGATCTTAGTGTGGAGGGCGAGTAAGAGTATCAAGAGTAGACCCTGATCTTAGTGTGAAGGGCGAGTAAGAGTATAAAGAGTAGACCCTGATCTTAGTGTAAAGGGCGAGTAAGAGTATAAAGAGTAGACCCTGATCTTAGTGTGAAGGGTGAGTAAGAGTATCAAGAGTAGACCCTGATCTTAGTGTGAAGGGTGAGTAAGAGTATATAGAGTAGACCCTGATCTTAGTGTAAAGGGCGAGTAAGAGTATAAAGAGTAGACCCTGATCTTAGTGCAAAGGGTGAGTAAGAGTATAAAGAGTAGACCCTGATCTTAGTGTAAAGGGCGAGTAAGAGTATATAGAGTAGACCCTGATCTTAGTGTAAAGGGCGAGTAAGAGTATAAAGAGTAGACCCTGATCTTAGTGCAAAGGGTGAGTAAGAGTATATAGAGTAGACCCTGATCTTAGTGTGAAGGGTGACTAAGAGTATAAAGAGTAGACCCTGATCTTAGTGTAAAGGGCGACTAAGAGTATAAAGAGTAGACCCTGATCTTAGTGTAAAGGGCGAGTAAGAGTATATAGAGTAGACCCTGATCTTAGTGTGAAGGGCGACTAAGAGTATAAAGAGTAGACCCTGATCTTAGTGTAAAGGGTGAGTAAGAGTATGAAGAGTAGACCCTGATCTTAGTGTGAAGGGTGAGTAAGAGTATATAGAGTAGACCCTGATCTTAGTGTGAAGGGCGAGTAAGAGTATAAAGAGTAGACCCTGATCTTAGTGTGAAGGGTGACTAAGAGTATAAAGAGTAGACCCTGATCTTAGTGTGAAGGGTGAGTAAGAGTATATAGAGTAGACCCTGATCTTAGTGTAAAGGGCGAGTAAGAGTATAAAGAGTAGACCCTGATCTTAGTGCAAAGGGTGAGTAAGAGTATATAGAGTAGACCCTGATCTTAGTGTGAAGGGTGAGTAAGAGTATATAGAGTAGACCCTGATCTTAGTGTAAAGGGCGACTAAGAGTATAAAGAGTAGACCCTGATCTTAGTGTGGAGGGCGAGTAAGAGTATATAGAGTAGACCCTGATCTTAGTGTGAAGGGCGACTAAGAGTATAAAGAGTAGACCCTGATCTTAGTGTAAAGGGTGAGTAAGAGTATGAAGAGTAGACCCTGATCTTAGTGTGAAGGGTGAGTAAGAGTATATAGAGTAGACCCTGATCTTAGTGTGAAGGGCGAGTAAGAGTATAAAGAGTAGACCCTGATCTTAGTGTGAAGGGTGACTAAGAGTATAAAGAGTAGACCCTGATCTTAGTGTGAAGGGTGAGTAAGAGTATATAGAGTAGACCCTGATCTTAGTGTAAAGGGCGAGTAAGAGTATGAAGAGTAGACCCTGATCTTAGTGCAAAGGGTGAGTAAGAGTATATAGAGTAGACCCTGATCTTAGTGTGAAGGGTGAGTAAGAGTATCAAGAGTAGACCCTGATCTTAGTGTAAAGGGCGACTAAGAGTATAAAGAGTAGACCCTGATCTTAGTGTAAAGGGCGAGTAAGAGTATATAGAGTAGACCCTGATCTTAGTGTGAAGGGCGACTAAGAGTATAAAGAGTATACCCTGATCTTAGTGTAAAGGGTGAGTAAGAGTATAAAGAGTAGACCCTGATCTTAGTGTGAAGGGCGAGTAAGAGTATCAAGAGTAGACCCTGATCTTACTGTAAAGGGCGAGTAAGAGTATGAAGAGTAGACCCTGATCTTAGTGTGAAGGGTGAGTAAGAGTATATAGAGTAGACCCTGATCTTAGTGTGAAGGGCGAGTAAGAGTATATAGAGTAGACCCTGATCTTAGTGTGAAGGGCGAGTAAGTATAAAGAGTAGACCCTCCTCGTCTTAGTGTTGAGGGCGAGTAGACTCCATAGAGTGGACCCTAGTCTAAGTGTGGAGGGCGAGATCTCTAGAAATATCAGGGAATATCAAATCAGACCTTTGTGTTAATGTGGATGGCGAGTGGGAGAACATATAGCAGACCATGGTCAACGAATGCATCTGTTCTATGGACGAGACGGGAACATATGCTATTTCCCCCACTATGACAACTCGTCCCACAATGAACAGCGCACCTGCAGGCAATATCAAACTATCAAACTAAACAAAATATAAAACAATTGTATTCGTGAATCAATCTAAGCCAACAGATTGACAGAGCTGAAAAAACTGATGCGACACAAAAATGTGAGGGATGTGATTGCCGACGAATCACACAACAAGTACTCAGCGCAAACACTAGTCTTCCAGTTCAGTGTTTACAAGAGTTTTCGTTTTTAATCTAGGGTTTTGACCTACTTGTAGGCCGTCTATACTTACTGGTGTAGCCTTGAATTCCTCGGCATAATTAGGACAATTACACACCCCGCGCACATCCTACATAGGTATGCGTTTACCTACCTGGAGGCCCGACGATATCGGACCGTCGCTCGATGGGGCAGACAGAAGCTGGCGAGAGTCAATAGACGCTCGTCATCAACATGTACTTTCAACCTCAACAAGCCGTTTGCTGTGTTTGAATATAATTTGGGGGTAGCAAGAAACACTCTTGAGAAAATTGCTTGTAAAAGAACCGTTTTGTAGTTTTGTTCACCCACTGTGTATTTGAGAATAAGATCGCACACCTTAATTTCTGTAACGTGAGGAGACCGACCTACTATTGTGTGACATTTGCATGTGCAGACAATGGAGGGTAAAAGTGAAAATAAGTTGCAGATAGAAACAGAACATTAAACTTTATCTGTTCAATAAAATAATTTCAAATCATCATATCTGAATGACGGACATCAGGAGCGTAGACGGAACACTTCTTTCTTATCCAGATGAAGAAATATTGGTTTTACAAGAGAGGGTTATGTAGAGATAATGTTCACAGATTAAGCGATAAGTTTGTAATACGTTGATTTGTAACCCAAACTTGAACCAGTCGTATTTAAATATGGTCGAACTGGACGACCAGCTTCTAAGGGGAAACTGGGCTGCAGAACTAGATACGGTGGGGACACTGGGTTGCAGAACTGGATACGGTGGGGACACCGGGCTGCAGAACTGGATACGGTGGGGACACTGGGTTGCAGAACTAAATACGGTGGGGACACTGGGCTGGAAGACTGGATACGGTGGGGACTCTGGGCTGCAGGACTGGATACGGTGGGGACTCCGGGCTGGAAGACTGGATACGGTGTGGACACTGGGCTGCAGGACTGGATACGGTGGGGACACTGGGCTGCAGGACTGGATACGGTGGGGACACCGGGCTGGAAGACTGGATACGGTGGGGACACCGGGCTGGAAGACTGGATACGGTGGGGACACTGGGCTGCAGGACTGGATACGGTGGGGACACTGGGCTGGAAGACTGGATACGGTGGGGACACTTGTCTGGAAGACTGGATACGGTGGGGACACTGGGCTGCAGGACTGGATACGGTGGGGACACTTGTCTGGAAGACTGGATACGGTGGGGACACCGGGCTGCAGGACTGGATACGGTGGGGACACTTGTCTGGAAGACTGGATACGGTGGGGACACTTGTCTGGAAGACTGGATACGGTGGGGACACTGGGCTGCAGGACTGGATACGGTGGGGACACTTGTCTGGAAGACAGGATACGGTGGGGACACTGGGCTGCAGGACTGGATACGGTGGGGACACTTGTCTGGAAGACTGGAAACGGTGGGGACACCGGGCTGCAGAACTGGATACGGTGGGGACACTGGGTTGCAGAACTAAATACGGTGGGGACACTTGTCTGGAGGACTGGATACGGTGGGGACACCGGGCTGGAAGACTGGATACGGTGGGGAACACTGGGCTGCAGGACTGGATACGGTGGGGACACTTGTCTGGAAGACTGGATACGGTGGGGACACTGGGCTGCAGGACTGGATACGGTGGGGACACCGGGCTGGAAGACTGGATACGGTTGGGACACTTGTCTGGAAGACTGGATACGGTGGGGACACTGGGCTGCAGGACTGGATACGGTGGGGACACCGGGCTGGAAGACTGGATACGGTGGGGACACTTGTCTGGAAGACTGGATACGGTGGGGACACTGGGCTGCAGGACTGGATACAGTGGGGACACTTGTCTGGAAGACTGGATACGGTGGGGACACCGGGCTGGGACTGGATACGGTGGGGACACTGGGCTGCAGGACTGGATACGGTGGGGACACTGGGCTGCAGGACTGGATACGGTGGGGACACTTGTCTGGAAGACTTGATACGGTGGGGACACTTGTCTGGAAGACTGGATACGGTGGGGACACTGGGCTGCAGGACTGGATACGGTTGGGACACTGGGCTGCAGGACTGGATACGGTGGGGACACTTGTCTGGAAGACTGGATACGGAGGGGACACTGATGAGGTTGAGAGGGGAGATTGACTAGTGAGGGGAGGTTGAGAGGGGAGTCTGACTAGTGAGGGGAGGTTGAGAGGGGAGACTGACTAGTGAGGGGAGGTTGAGAGGGGAGACTGACTAGTGAGGGGAGGTTGAGTGGGGAGACTGACTAGTGAGGGTAGATTGAGGGGAATATTGACCACCATGGGAAAATTGGCAATTGTGGGGAGGTTCAGTGTGAAGACTACTGAAGGTGCTTGAATGTCGGAGGATGGCCAGTAGTCTGTAGAGCTCACCATGTTGGTATCTAAAGAAACATTTACAACAAGCCTCGGACATCGTGCACCTGACAGGTTTCATTGTATACCATATAGCCATGTAACTGTACCTTGTCACAAACAAGGGTATTACCTGTAAACTCTATGAGTAAATTCAACGTTTTAATACTTTACAGTGTGCCGCTTCGCAAAGCAATAGTAGCTCTACGACGGCCTTAAGTCAGTGTTAGAGCGATGCTATTATGTGAGCTACGATAGTCGTAACGCTACGTTCGCTTTGTGAAGTGGGCCCCAGGCATTTCTGATCTGATGCACCTAACTCTCCTCGACAGGAGGTAATCTTACTCAGCATCATATAATCGTGTAAAGATGCTCGCTAAGCTTCGTAAAACAATTATTCAGTGTCGTTGGATACGCGGTTCAATATTTTTTGTTGTTGTGTAGCTACCTATTACTTTGTTTCAACACACTGCAGGATCTAGGGAATTTCACAAGGTCAGAGGTAAATATATTTCAACTATAAACAAGTGTCTACGTGATTTACAACATGTACAACACACGCCCATTCCAGTAGTGTCCAACATGTAGTAGTCAGTGATGATTACGTCAGTCGGGAATAACACATGACATTATTATCAATAACACACCACAACACGGGGATGTTATTATGATCATAAGCCTAATAAGGTATTTGGGGGGTAATTGTCTGAGAACCTAAGCTGGTTTCACTGACAATCATATGTATGTCGCTATGCCCTACTTTTGACGGTGAAGTAAAACGTTGTCATCAATATTTGAAACCAGGGCTTATGACTGTGCTGTGATCATTGCTGGTGAAAGTAGGCTTAATGACAAATTTACTGTGAGAACCCATGCGAACAATGTCGGACAGAACGTCCTAATGGCTTCCCAATACTCAGAACATTCAGTTTCAAGTCATAAATCTTGAACTGTCCTCCGTATCATGTACATCAGCGCGATGAAGGCAGAATTCGGGATCCACGGCGATATAAGAGATACAGGCCAATACACCTTAACAGCGAATTCCAAACAGATGTTTCCATAATGCAACGTGATGGTGTTGATAGGTCAACCAACAGACCACCTAGCGTATGATCTGGTCTCAAGTGTAGTGTGTGCAGGGACCAGAAGGGTATGACAGGGGTACTGCACTAGTATGGGCTACTGCAAGGGTGTTGTGAGATCAGGCAAGGGTGTTGTGAGATCAGGCAAGGGTGTTGTGAGATCAGGCAAGGGTGTTGTGAGATCAGGCAAGGGTGTTGTGAGATCAGGCAAGGGTGTTGTGAGATCAGGCAAGGATGTTGTGAGATCAGGCAAGGGTGTTGTGAGATCAGGCAAGGGTGTTGTGAGATCAGGCAAGGGTGTTGTGAGATCAGGCAAGGATCAGGCAAGGATGAAATCAGGCAAGGGTGTTGTGAGATCAGGCAAGGATGTTGTGGGATCAGGCAAGGGTGTTGTGAGATCAGGCAAGGGTGTTGTGAGATCAGGCAAGGGTGTTGTGAGATCAGGCAAGGGTGATGTGAGATCAGGCAAGGGTGTTGTAGGGATGTTGTAACGGTGTTGGTGAAGCATGTCAGTGTGTTCATACGTTCGGCAATGGTATTGAGTTGTACTGGATTGGTATTTTGCTGTACTGTAAGGGATTTGTGATGTACTGCGAGGTACATGCAGGGGTATTACGGGGAACTGCAAGGGTATTACGGGGAACTGCAAGGGTATTACGGGGAACTGCAAGGGTATTACGGAGAACTGCAAGGGTATTACGGGGAACTGCAAAGGTATTACGGGGAACTGCAAGGGTATTACGGGGAACTGCAAGGACAATTTGAGGAACTTCGGGGTACTGCAAGAGATTACAGGGAACTTGCCAGGATATTATGGGCAACTACAGTGGTATTATGGGGAACCACAAGGGTATTATGGGGAACCACATGGGTATTATGGGGAACTGCAGGGGTATTGTGGGGAACTGCAGGGGTATTATGGGGAACCACATGGGTATTATTGGGAGCCACAAGGGTATTACGGGGAACCACAAGGGAATTTTGGGGAACTGCAGGGGTATTGTGGGGAACTGCAGGGGTATTATGGGGAACCACATGGGTATTATGAGGAACCACAAGGGAATTTTGGGGAACTGCAGGGGTATTGTGGGGAACTGCAGGGGTATTATGGGGAACCACATGGGTATTATGAGGAACCACAAGGGAATTTTGGGGAACTGCAGGGGTATTGTGGGGAACTGCAGGGGTATTATGGGGAACTGCCTGGATATTATAGGGAGCTGCATGGGTATTGGGGGAAACTGCAAGAGTATCTGGGGGAACTGTTGGGAGTTGCAGGGGTATTATAGGGTGCTGCATGGGTAATGGGGGAAACTGCAAGAGTATCTGGTGGAGCGAGCTATTGGGAACTGCATGGTCATCGTGGTTTAAGCGCAGGTACCAAATGCATCGTATTGTATAGTGCACGCATGTCAATAATTATAACAGTTATATACAACAGGGTATATATTTCGGGTGTGGTAGACAGGCGTATTGAAGTTGTATAGTAGAGGAGTAATACCAGATAAATCTAGGACATTGAATGTCATGTGTATAGATGGCGTGTTCAAGGCTATTGGATGATACGTGTTGCAGCTGGTCGTCGGCGTTGTTGGGACTCCCTCTGTGACGTCCCCCCACCCCAACTCCCCCCTCACAAGCCTGCTACAGTCAGGGATGCCACCCAAATATGTCAGCTATGCGATGTACAGCAGTGGTAGACCTACTATTCAAAACATGGACGCTGAACATTTCAATATTTTGCTTCTGGCTTTAACGTTTCCCGGCATTATTTGACATGGTGTGACATTTGACACTATTTGGTGGCACCATTTGTGACTTCATCATTCAGACAAACACATATGACGGATTATCCTTCACTAGTGGTTCCATTACAAGTGACCATGTCGACACGAGAATGTGACCCCTGAACCTTGACCTCGAACAACACGACACACCTGGGTAGCTGGTTTCACCTCTGACACTTTTAATGTCTACGCACATCTACTGACAGCCTTGAAAAAATCATTTCAAGGACAGCGTCATTATTAAATAGAAATAGCCTCGACTGATTTCGAAAGGGGGTGATGTGAGCATAATCTCGTCACGCCACTGATCTTGAAATCCTATGCATGTAAAATATACGGGATAGAAGCAGCTCAACTAATGATTGTTGCAATTGAGATTCACAATGGCCAACATGATTATACATTTACTGTGTTGATGAAATTATGAAACGATAAGAAGGCAATATTTACGTAACAAATTGAAGTCAACCTGCATATTGCATGAAACGTCGTAAAAACTCACTCACTTCAAAAAAGAAAGCAAATACCCATTAAAGGTAACCTGAAGAGACCATTGCGCTTTGGTTTCGTGTGTGTAGTCTCAAGTGAAGGTCTAGAATGAATTGGCTGTCTGAAAGATTGAACATTAAAAGGGTTGTCCAATTAAATAAAAACTTATAAAAGCGTTCATCGAGCATGTATTTGTGTCTATATGAACATCAGCATGCCCGGTGTTCCGTCAAAAGTCCTTCCTACGTAACACATAAAACACAAGTGTCCTCATCAAAGCGGTTCTAGATAATCTCAAGGTACGATTTAGGAGCACTGCGTGTGTGGATGTGTTAGATTTACCCCTTACAAGACTATTACCCCACCATACCCGCAACTCTAAATCAGCCCTCCAGACAAGCACTCAAACGACGCAAATCCCGTCTAGTCGAATTCTCTCACGTGCTGATTGCTCTGTGCTGTTTAGCCTGAGCGGGTAAAGCGCGAGTATTTGGCCCCACTTAACGTGCACTCAACTCTGACGGTATATGGCCTTTGAGCCTTACTACTGGGGTGGATGTGACGAGGCTGAATTGAATTATTAAGTACCAATTGGTTTTGCATTTGGGGCATTTGTTGTTATGTAATCGTTTGACAGTACATCTTAAGAAGACCTTTCACTGCCATCCAAATCAGGTCAGAACATGATGTTTATCGACGGGTTCACATGGAAAATATCTACTGAAACAAACGGTTTTGATATGGCGGACATGTAGCTTAAGACTGCAGCTTGTTCCAAAAACAAACCTACAGTTATCTTTGTATGGAATCCTATCAGGGCCAAAGTCTAAAATATATTTTATCTACCTAGAAGTAGAGTATCACCTACGTAGATTTAAGTATTTTCTACCTAAATGTAAGTATTTTGTATCCAAATGTTAGTATCATCTACGCAGAGGTAAGTATTTTCTACCTAAATGTAAGTATTTTCTACCTAAATGTAAGTATTTTCTACGTAGATGTAAGTATTTTCTACGTAGATGTAAGCATCATCTACATAAATGTAAGTATTTTCTATTGAAATGTAAGTATTTTCAACTAAAACGTAAGTATTTTCTACGCAGTTCTACCATCTCCGTAGTTGTATCATCTATCTAAATGTATTTTCTATCTAAATGTAAGTATTTTCTACGTAAATGTAAGTATTTTCTATGTTGTTGTAAGTATAATTTACGTAAATGTAAGTATTTTTTACTAAAATGTAGGTATTTTCTACTAAAATGTAAGTATTTACTACGCAGTTCTACCATCTCCGTAGTTGTATCATCTATCTAAATGTATTTTCTATCTAAATATAAGTATTTTCTACTTAAATGTAAGTATTTCCTAGGTTGTTGTAAGTATAATTTACATAGATGTAAGTATTTTTTACTAAAATGTAGGTATTTTCTACTTAAATGAAAGTATTTTCTACGCAGTTTTATCTTCTACGTAGATGTTATTTGTTTTAGATTGTGGCACTTCATTTTTTACGCTTCCATATGTTTGGCTGCAATTCACAAGGAACCTTTACGCAAAGACCGTCATATATATATATATAGTTTAACATAGACTTAAGACTGTCATTCGCTGTACGAACGGTTTATGGATCGGTGTGGATCAACGAGGAACGTTTTCAATACCCAACATGCTACCTTGCCCTCATACTTGTATATGTGTACCAGTATTTTGGGGTATCTTCTGTCGGTTAGTAGGTGCAGCGTGTACTCTTCGTCGTTCCAGGTTTGGATCACCATGTGGGTACAATGTGTGAAGCCCATTCCTGAGTGACCCACTTAGCTATTGCTTGAATATTGTTTATAGCGTCTTAAAAGTACATTCACTCATTCACACACTCACTCATTCCAACATGTCGTTACCAACTAGGTTTACCATTCAGCAGCTGTAAAACAATTACCTGGTTAATTGTCTACAGCTGCAGTTGTGTTGTATTCACAGCTGGTTCGTCAACAAAGCGACTCTAGTTCCGACTCTGTTACATTAACGACATTAAGACTGAACGTTAACATTTTGTTATATTTCAATCCAGCCGTTAGGTTAATGAAAATTCTTTAAAACGCATATCTTTCAAGTACATCATTACCTATTTCATGGTGAGATAGCCTAGTTTGATAAATTAGTTCGTATGTCTCAGTAAAGGGCTGGGTTCGATTCCCATATGGGTTTGATGAGTGAAGTCTAGTTCTGGGGTTTTCCGCTGATAGCTTGGAGTATTGCAGAAAACAGCATACAGCCCAGCTCACTCACTCACTCACTCACTCACACTCACACTCACTCACACTCACTCACTCACTCACCAACTCCATTCTAAGCCAGTGAGAAACATGAACACATATGGTGCGCTCTTGTACTAGTCCGGACGTATGTCGGTTTCACTGTGCTAACCCTCTGATGTATAATCTTGTAGTATGATATGGATATGCTTCTGAGAAAGAGTTTACCGACTCCGACCAGTCCTTGTTTTATTCTCTTAGTGCCGCGCGCCAGGCAGGGAAACAACAAATATCATCTGTCAGCTTCTTTTGGTTTCGCTCGACCAGGAATCGAACCCCAAACCGCTCACGGGACTTTCCACTAGACCAAGGAGCAATCCCATAAACACGTGTAGTACATATATATCCTGTTCTATACAGTGTGTGTTATACAGCTATCGTCCTGGGCGACTGTTAGGCCAAGATGTCGCCTGTACCTTTAGGCAGACTTGTATTATCTCCGGGTCGGATTAAATGAGCGCCTATTTTTCGATACCTCGAATAACATTCTATATTGAAGCACTTTAGTGACTGTTACCTTCAGATCTGTCTACAATTGTCAAGGGAACCAGACCGACAACCCTTTCTCCTCAGCGTTATTGAAATGTTTTAGTAGGAATGTTACGTATGTCTGTGTAGATGTTGTTATTGCCGTCGGCATTGAAATAGCTCACCTGACCATAGAGGTCGCCACGAGTCGTGTCAATGGCTGTTGCTCTGCCTATCAAAACTAGTCTATATCTTCGTCAAATTATTTTCACATTTGTAAGAATTTCTATTCACCCAAGATTTCGCTTATTTTGTAAATGTAGGTTTTTATTTCACTTTAATAAAAGTTCGGATATGAACAATATTTCTGACAATTGAAGCGCCCGTGACTCCCCATTAAGCGACACAAAGTAGACTGCTCTTCAATGAATGTTTTCAGTCACTTAGTGATGCAATGGCAGGGTAGAATTAGTTGCCCCTGAAATGTAACATCGTCAGGATGAATAGTAGACATTTCCGCACGACTAATTCGCAATACAATTTGACGACGCATGCCTTCAGACGAACAGTGGGTTGTACATAACAAGAAAAATCATTTGAATTTAGATAGTACGTCACCTTCTAATTATCTCGACATAATATGTACCTCTCTTCGCCCACAGGAACGCTCAGCCTCGCGATCAGAACAAGAGGAGCTTACGTCAGATTGTAAACAATAATTTCCGCATATACATAATGGCAATGATATTTACTGACGGTTACGAGGAAAGTTTAGGAATATTACATTGCTATTATCTAAATGGTAGAATAATTACAATGAATTGTGATATACATGTATATATGGAAGGCACTGACTGCTGACTAGTCTCCAACAATGATTCTCATCAGGGAGCGAGTGAGGGAGCGAGTGAACGGGGGATGAGTCGGATTTGAGTGGGTGGATGGGTGGATGGATGGATGGGTAAGCGGGGTTTGAGCGAGTGAGTAAGTGGGATTTGTGTGAGTGGGTGGGTGGGTGGATGGATGGGTGGATGGGTAAGTTGGGTTTGAGCGAGTGAAGGAGCGAGTGAGTGGGTGGATAAGTGGACGGATGGGTAAGTGGGGTTTGGGTGAATGCGGGAACGAGTGAGTGGGTGGGTGGATGGGTAAGTTGGGTTAGAGTGAGTAAGTGGGATTTGAGTGAGTGAGTGAGTGAGTGAGTGTGGAGTGGGTGAGTGGGTGGATGGGTAAGTGGGGTTGGGTGAGTGAG